CAAGACACATCTGGAAGACCATCACAAAATTGAGCGGTATGAATTTTGCAGAGAACGCGCGCACTGGAAAGCTGATAACAATGCGGAATGGGGGGGGGTGGGCATTTACAGATGAAATGGCAATAAAAGTTGGAGAACGGCACGGGAGAACAACAATCTGGAGGGGAAAAGGGTACGATGAAGAATGGGATGAGACATGCGCCGGGGATAAAATGATACAAACCGCATCAATTATGTGTTTGGGTATGATTATGTACGGATATAAAGGGCCCTTGCACATTTGGAAAAGGGAAACTGAGGGTGAGAGAAAAGAAGCACAAATTATGATTTCCCATCTCAACTCTCTCCTGGAAGCCGAAGCTCACACCAAAGAGATTGAATGGAAAGCCTCTACCGAATTTAACCAACTCAAAACTCGGGAATTAATTGCTGCAAGAGATAAGAGAAAACAATCTAAGGTATTTCACAATTATATAATTTTATTTACCATTACTAATAATTTACAGATTGATGGCATTCAAAAGATACATTGCCGACAGAGTTGGAGAGACAAGAAATTTCAAATTTCAAAAATAGAACACAAGAAAGGAAGCGGAGTAGATGCATGGAGATATGTCAAACACGTTGCACGCCCCATCTTGTGGCCTGAGTGCGAGAGGTTGATACTAGAAAACCCGAATTTTATATTAATGGAGGATGGGGCACCCTCCCATACTGCTACCTTCACAAATGTAGAAAGACTGAAGAAAGGTATACCTAAAGCTATTTGGCCCTCTCTATCTCCGGATTTTAATCCTATAGAAAGAATTTGGGATTGGTTGAGGAGGGAGGTCGCTAAGAAAAAGGTTACTAAATCTGAAGATTTGGCCACAGCGATGCAAGAGGCCTGGGACAACCTCCCTATAAGGATAATTAATAGGGAGATTGAGAAACTACCTAATATCATGTCTAAATGTATGGAGGTACAGGGTAACAATAATTATCAAGCCTAATAAATTGGATTTGTTGGATCGGGCTTCGTTGAGTACGTTGCACGGTTGCGCGCGCCGGCGCTGAGCTCGTTGTATTTCCGTCACACTCTTTAAAATCCGGCAAGTATGAAATGATATGATGACTGAAAAACATAGAAGGTAAAACAAACATGACTATCATATGAGTGTTACCTACCTTAAGGCTGGGACAGTAGGTGTGGCTCTATTCGTGGGTCCCTTTACCGCGCTTATCGCGTAGATCTCCCGTTGTCTCTCTACTATAGGGTCGGGAGATCTGGCGAAGGGTGCAGAAGACTGGCCTCGATCGAGAACAACGTTATCCTGTAACGTCTGCCTGCACTTAAAGCGATAATAGGTCGTTCACGTTCACGTGGCTATTATTATGGGTGCGGAAGTCTAGATTATAACCCCAAGGTAACGCGTGCATGCTTCCCCTGCAGGACGTCGGAGGAGCTCTATATACATCCGATCTAGCAACATCCTCCTTCCTGCACTCTGCCCTTCCCACTATAAAAGCATTAACTCCCCCCAGCCCGTTGGCTCGGTATCCGTCCTATCGCGACCACATGGATCCTCGACAATCGGGCTCCGTATCCCTGTTGTTCGTTGGTCCTTGTAGCCCTACGAGGGTAGCATACCATACCTACCAAGATCTGTTGCCAGGTGGCAACTGGATCGGCAATCTGCTCGATCAGCCAAGCGTGTTGTCTCGCAGTGTCAAGTGCGGAGACAGACTCCTGGCGCCACAGAGCGATCAGCCACAGTTCACCACGTCGATACCGGGGTCGTCGCGGTTCGCAGCCAGCGACCGTCTCTTGACGAATACTGCCACTTGACGAACAGGGGCCCCAATTATTGCAAGAAATAGTCAAATAACAGCCAAGCAAGGAGATCTATAGTTCTTTTAATTCCCATTCTATATTCGCCCCAAGTGCCCTCCTCGTCAACTGGCAGTATCCGTCGATGGTGAACGACCTTGGGAGGTTGTAAGATGTGGGGATGGTACGGTGGGTCCGTTTTTCTTGGGGACTCAAGCGGGATCGCGGTCCACACCGTTTGTGGAGATTCGACGTTGAGTTAAGCTTTTCGTGAATGCGCGCTATCGATGAACGTATCCTGGTTGTTGGGGTGATGGGGGCAGGAGTGCCAAGAAGGGATGATTGTGATTAGTGATCTACAATCGTTACCATCTGGATCCGGGGTTTTCCCTAGAGGGCAATTTAGCCGAGTACGGTTCTATTTACTTTGTAAATTTGTGAATATAGGGTAAGGGTTCAACCATAAAGCTGAGAGCGAATGAGGCTGGTAGCTCAACTGTACTACATGTATGTATGTGTATGTATGTATACATGTATCATCTAGCTTAGATCCTAGGCAAACATCAGTTATACATGTATGTATGATGGACCTGAGAATATACGGTACACTCCAAATTTGGGCTGTACAATCACCTAGAGTAGACACGTACAGTATCCTTCGGTTCTGCCTACCCCAGGAGCACGAGGTACCACATCATGCCGTTGGACAGGGTACCTCACAAATAGAGAAAATCACTGCATGACGATAGGTAGTGTATAGCTATGTTAGATATAAGGCTCAAGAGCACCGGGATGCATGTATCGCTCAGGAATCACTAAGCGCCAGCTGATCACTGCCGGTGCACAAGGGCTGCACATCGAGATGAACGGACCAATCCTGCAACGCCGCCAACCGGGGATGAGGTGCCAAGAGGACTTGGGATGTGCTACCTCGATAGGCGGTATCTGTTCCTTTCGAATTCGTGTATTTAGTACGGCACAGCCACGAAGTATACAACAGCACTACCGGGATCGGCCGTGGGTACGTTAGTGGGTATGATACTGTACTCGTATCTTCCTGGCGCTTTTGAACTGGGTCACTATATATATTGCATATACCAAAAACCATGAGCTTGGCTTTTTGTATGGTATGCAATATTAGTCGCGTCCACAAAGGTCAAGAAAATACGAGTAGGTGCTCTATGTTGGGAGGGTACTGCTTGCTGACCCAACTTGCAGTTTGAGCACTAGACAACTTGTACGTTCATGGGTTAGGTATGTACTTTCGTCTGCAGCGGTTGCTATGCAGGGCATCAAAGCAAGGCTGGCAAAAAGGAAAAAAAAAGACTACGTTTTCTCTCAACATATGGTGCGCACACTCATAAAGGTGATGGGGTGGCGTACAGAAGATACAGAAGTGGAACAATTGTGGCTGCAATATGGCCTCATGGGCCAATAAGAGAGGGCCTTCTGCTGCATCACTGCCATGGCCTGATCGGGTTTGCTTCTTTAAGGGTATAAATGGGTATAATACTGTTCCACTTTGCTCAGTCTTGGCGCTTTTTACATACTAAAATACCGAATTTCAAGCTTGAATAACTTTTTAATCAGGACAGATATCAAAAATCGGGTTGGTAAAATTATTCTTCATTACTAGTACTTCAAATTTACCAACCCGATTTTTGATATCTGTCCTGGTTAAAAAGTTATTCAACCTCAACCTTGCCCTAATTTTTGACTACATTTATGACTGGGCGCACCATACTTGGACCCAGACAACAAGCGTTCTCCGCGGCCGGTAGCCTACTTTCGGATGCTGGTATTTCTTTGTTTTTGTTTTTGTTTTTACCCCGTAATGATCCGATTTTACGATCCTATTCGTGGGTACATTGCCCGACGAGCAGGCTTAGCTAGTAAGGGATATGAAATTCGGATATATCAGCCAATACCAGCATATAAAGACGAGAAGGCCAATAGAGGGAAGTGTGGGGGTCATTACTATATTGACAAGCTTTCCTGTAGATGGTTTTCAATATCCCTCTGTTGTCCGGCCGTGGCTTATGAGTAAATGAGGCTAGATATCCTTTATGTCGGGCTGCCCTGTTGGCTGCAGCTCGAGCGATATGCATTTACTCCGCCATCGGGGTAATGATCATGCAATTGCATTTTGAATAGGATGTAGCGTGCTGGAAGATTGGAGTACCGTGTCTAAGTAGAGTACAGGAGAAGCCGCGATCCAGGAAGATGGGACATCTGCACCCATGAAGATAGAGAATTCTGGGGTCGTCGCGAATCATCGACATATGCTTTTCAAAATTTTCCCCAGAGCCGGGTATGCCTGCCTATATCTCCCTCTTGGCAAGTATCACGATCTGACACTTCAACTTGGCGCTATGGCGCTAATATCGCTTCAACGTCACGATCTTCGTAATCATTGGAACAAAACAAGGCCTGTTCCTGATGACTCCTGACAGATCTGCTCCTTCCCCATTCGGTTGGTGAGTTGTTCTTGGTTTGTTGGGGGTCGGCACTTTGACTTAAGACTTACCCCATGCTCAAGTTATCATTGATTGTAGGCGTATCCCACACCCGTGACCCCGGGGGGTATGGCTCGCGATAAAAAAAGAAACTCTACCGCCTCCTGGAACGAGCGGATATCGATCATGGCGCGCATTGGAAGTCTTAATTCTGTGTACTATAACGCCTGTGGGCGTACAGCGGGGCAAATATTGATCCACACCGACAGCATAAGTAGCGGAAGTGCAATTTGAGGACTCGCCATAATGAGGTTAAAACGTCCACGTATGAGTGCGGAGAGTCGACCGCTGGTCTGGAGCACTGGGCTGTAAGAAAGTATGGCGGTTCATCGTCAGCCAGACGTTGGTTCGATTTCTATATGCCACATTGGGGGTTGCGGGCTTTTTTTGTAAAAGGCCTGACAGAAACCTTGGTACAAAGATCCAACGATTCCCTTAATTCTAGATTTTGATCATCTACGAGGCAAAATAGACATCTCGCATCGCCTACAAAGAAGCTGTGTAGGATCGATTAAAGAAGCATGGGACTCACCGCCTTACGTGATTGCCTCTAGAGCGATTTACGTGCTGTAAGCAGTTTTCATATATAAACTCATCCCTACACTCTTTTTGTTTTTGTGAAAAACACCAACCACATTATCTATCACCTCCTACCTGAATTCTCCCACAATACCATGCCAGTCTTACCATATGTCCAAAATCTCGTGCCGCGAGAGGTGTCCTTCACAACTCAAACAAACGTCTCTGTAGACTCAAACCCCACAACGACCAGCACTAGCTGCAATCCTCCTACCGCAGCAGTGATACTATTCTTTGGGATCGCTATGACTATCCTGGGCATTATAATCGCCATCCTCAACCTCTGGGTCAATGTGCAGAGCCTTCTCCTGTGCCGAAGGCAGCACAGTGAGGCGATCGTGAGTCCTTTTTTTTTTTTTGCCGGCTTCTTTGTTTGTTTGTCTATCTGTAAGGTAATGTTATAACATCCCGTTTCTACAAAGGCTTTGGAACCCCCGAGCCGGCCGGAACAAAGTGCGGCGGAACTGATTAATGGAGTGCCGCTGAGTGCGAGTACTGCCTCATTCTCGAGTACGACGAGTACAACAGCAGCATCGGTGGAGACCACGGATATGGCGGTGTTGGCGACTGTGGCTGCGGTAGATAGGGCGGACTCGACAGATCCGGAGGAGGTACATGATCCGCAATAACGAATTCAAAAGCTGGAGTGTAAGACAAGGTCCGGCAACGAATAAGGTAGATTAGCATATGTAGAGTGGTATTTTCTTGATCACCCAGCGGTTATTATTGAAAGAGGTTTCGTTTCGACCCCTGTACGTTCCTTTGTCTTGGTATTTTGCTTTTTTTGTGCCTGTATCTCACGGCTGGGGTATCTTCTTGTGTTTGTAACGAATCGAAAATAAATGAAACTATTGGTCGCGCTCACTCAAGGCAAAATTTCCACAATCCGAGAACTGAGTGCTCAGCCCAATTTGTGCTCAGCCCAATTTGTGCTCAGCCCAATTTGTGCCCCTAGGAAGTGCAAGGGAAAATCATTTCCTCAAGAGCTTGGCGTCGAGTGATGCTACATGACGCATCGGCATTCATCTGAAGGTTGACCTGACCGTGTAGGAACATACTGTGTCTGGGTATGAGATTCTCTTGAAGCCAGAGCAGTTCCTCTTTGATATCTGAGATTCACAACGGACCCATACAATTCAATTTCATCAAGCATCACTCGGCGTTTGGAATAGTAATGATCGACATGCCAAGCTCTGGCTCGACTACATACTCCAGTTTAACGGGCTGAGCGCACAAAAGTTAGCATGAGAATAACCTGGCTGCCTAATGCAGTCTCGTGCGGTGAAGTGTGTTTTTGAGTTATTTCTTATTGGGTGGAGATAGCGAGGTCTGTCAGCTGTTACTGTACTACCACACTACATTGAACGCGTGCCCGTACTCGATTGAAATCATAGACTAGCACAATCAATAAGTACGGAGAGAAATCACTCTTAGGACGTAGCTAAAAGTGTACAGCAACCATGTACTCAACCACCCTCATCATTCCAGGCACGAACCTACCTTACCTAGGTATTGCACCGAGTCTCGACCATCGCCATCGCCAACATTTTCACGACTACCCTTTCAACAATATAGTTCTTCCAGGTCGGTCTTGAAGAAATGGGGATTGGGGCAACGAAAACAAGCTATGGTAGCATGAGGAGCATTTTGGGAGAGTTTAGGGTTAACAATAATTTCGGTGTCTTAAATTGGTGGTGCTGAATGGCAATGATATGCTTGTTGGTATCAGAGTGATGTCGGAAGAGGAGGGAGGCAGTGTCTGCTACGCTGATTGTCTAAGGGTGCTACTGTGGACTGGGAGGGGTAGCCAGCAAGTATTTTTACAGGTCAGGTTTCGATGTGGGGCAGAGGGTCGTTTATGAGGGAGTTATAGGTGGATTCTATCATAAGCGAGATGAAGCAGATTTGGGCATGGTTATCTCTATAGGATTCATTGGAATAATAAGAGTTATGATGTTTAAATGTCGCTCTGGGTTCTATCAGCCTATTATGGGGGTGGTGTGGGAGGGGAGAGTTATTAGGAGGCACTCAGGCAACTAATGAGGAAATCTTTTTGATTTCATAAACATCCACTACAGCCTCTTCTGGTCGTTTCTGCAGAATGCTGCCCACAAGTGGACGAGAGATATGCTTCCTCAGTTCAGAGGACCCTGCGTTCAAAGGTTGTCAAACGTAGAATTTCGTTGCCATAAACTCGCGCGTTAATTGAAAGATCGAGATCTTGTGTGGGGATTTGGTTGCAATGACCTCCGACCTTTTAATTAACCCGCTAGTAGATCATAGGGGGACAATAAACATCATGAACATCATCTCTCTGTAGTATCTAGAGTAGATAGATACTTGGAAAACGCGGGGGATCAGAGAGGGGAAGAGGAACGAGAAAGAAACGGAAGGAAAAAGAAAAACTGGGCAGGTGAATATTGAGTTTTCAAAGAAAATGGGAGAGGGATCCGGATATATGAGGGGGTTGGTATAGCAAAAGATTAGGAAAAGAGAGTCTAAGAAAAGGGAATAAGAAAGAAGGAGGGGGTGGATATGTACAAGAAAAGGAAAAGCGAAATCGAGAAATTAGAACATTATGAACCTAGATTATCCCCATTTTCATTCATTCCAAGAGAGTAATAAACTGTAGTCCTATTTTCCCTACGGTACAATTATTCGGATGTGGACAGGTAAATTATCTGCTCCCACCAGTTAACCAGGGGTGAAACATGGTAATATAGACCTCTTTGAAGGTTTCCTGTTTACCCATCCACAGAGGAAGGTAAAGCTGATACCGCCGGCTCAAGCTTCCAAATCAGGTTAGATACAGAGGTAACATTTCCACTCCCACTAGATAGCTCTTCTAATAGCAGTTACATCTCGGATTATAGTGTAGTGGATAGGACCTGTATAAGCGCATATATGCATGCAGGTTCAATCCATACTGCGTGCTTATTTTTTATTCTTCAACACATTAGATATTACCTCTATCAGAGGGTAACATATTACTTGTGGTAATTCATCCCTCCTGGCACACTATTCTTTTGTATCCATCTCTTATAGAGGATGAAAAGTGCTCGATATCGGGAGAGCCCAATCCCTGGCTCTACCAACTATTAAAATGAATCAAAAAATGAATCTTATACCCACGTAAAACTTTGGTGTGAAATGAATCATCGGAAATGTGTTTATTAAGTGAACTGTCTTTACCAAGGAAATGAATCTTTTTACTATGGGGAAATGAATCCGGAAATGAATTTTAAGTCTCATATGTTACTTTAATAAACACATTACCACTAATCCAAGACTTATATATACATTATATAAAAGATACAAATAAAAAAATAAAAAAGATTTATCCAGGGATTGAACCTAGAGAACAGCGAATACACAGTCCATATCTTATCACCTACGCCATTGATTGATATATTAAGCTCTATACGTTCCCCATAAACCGTGTCCATTGTAGAAAGGTCACAGGAAAAGGCATAGGAAAAGGCATTCTGGGTCCCGGTGCAGCCCAGGAAAAGGCATCAGAAAAGGCATCAGAAAAGGCATCAAAAAGGGAATAAGAAAAGGCATCAAGAAACTTAAAACACATTTTGGGATGACGATGCATCCTTGTCCAGAATAGGTAGTACATAAGCGGAGTTGGATCAAGAAAAGAGATTTTCGGCTTTGGAAATGAATCTTTTATGCCTTTTCCACAAGCGTCCCCGGGAAATGAATCAAGTGATTCGTTTCCCAAAATTCGCTTGGTGGGAAACGAATCAAATGATTCATTTCCATGGCTGGTAGAGTGGGCGTTACCTCCTAAGACGGTAAACTATCTTGCGCAAATTGTACTGTAGGGTTTTGTTGTTTTTCGGTGACGCGACCCGCAAGACCTGTTGCCTAGCAGGCTGCGAGCCGGCTTTATTCCAGTAGCCTGCAGTTGTCGTTCATTTGGGCGTGATGAATGAGATATAATAATCACGATACTGTGAGTAAGAGAATGGAAAGAAGGGGAATAGGCAGCAGCTGGTCTAAATAAAGAGGTAGGTCAACGTAAAATGTAGGACAGAGATACGGCAGAAAGATAGCAAAGCGAGAGAGAGAATGGCAAGGAAAGACCATAAACACTCTTTCAAAGCCCACCCTAATGATTAGCCATCAACGATCTTAATAATTAGGTCACTCGAATAGGATGTGTCAGCGCCCAGATGTATTGGTTTGGGGGGGGATTTTGGTAAGCGTGTTCGTGGAGTAGTGTGACTAGCGAGGTATTGAAGCTTGAGGTTTCTGCTTTGAGATGGTTCATGTTATGGAGGTTCATGTTACGGAGGTCCATGAGGTCAGGCAAGTCCTTTCACTTGTCTCTAGGTTCTGCCACGGCCATCGATAGAAATATTCGAAGTATTTGAGGTTCTGGTATGCATGGGTTTGTCAATGGTTATACTAAACATATATATATATATAGATACAAGTAGTTTCCGGCCTTCGGTCGGTACTAAATGTGTATCAATCAGTCCAATAGAAAGGCAAGCCGCTTTGCGGCTTATTTTCTCTATTTGCTTGGCAGGCAAAGTCCATCACTATATCTTGATCTGCTCTAGTCGATATTTACCTTTTCTGACATCCCCCATATATCAGCGTATAGATTAGAAAATTTCTGTAGTTCAAGCTGCAAGTATATCCCTTTAACAGCCACCAAGTCGCTAAAATCGAACTATTAATCGATTCCCAGAACCAGTAGAAAACCTGTTAACAATCTAACACCACTCAGCACAACTAATACCCTGTGTTAATACTTATCCAACACAACATGTTTCAAGTGAAACAAAACCTCTCTCAGTGAGCCAATCAGAAGACTATAAAAGTACATTGCATATATGCAGGTTATAATTATATACTTGTTAGATATATTGGCCGTGTTTCATGTATTGCACAGTATTGGGTGTCCCCTTGATTAATGCAAAACTAATCGGTTCAAATATCATATTATACTTGTACTAATTTTCTTAGAGCTAGCACGAGCACTCAAGGCATTAGATCAATGCGCGCGAACAAGCACAGATATTGCCATATGGGCCATACAAGGCAGAGATAGTTCGACTGGTCACTTGCATCCTTCCGTTTTGAGCAGCCTGGTGGCCGGGCTACGCTACCATTGACTTGAAGTTAACAGCAATACTATGAGTTGTACACTGCTATTACTCTAACCCAGGTAATTACAGCCCTTATCCGGCATCTCAACGGAGGGTATGGTAGAAATGATATATGCTCTGGGCTTCCTGTGGTTTATACGGTATATTCGAGGGTGGACTATGTAGCCCATCCGAATGAACTGATCTTTGAGCTGTTCTTGACTGGCTATCCCAGCGATGAGCGGACCAGGAAAGGATGTGAAAAGTTATTATATATACCCTCCAGAGACCACTTAATATTTGAGGGTTTTTTCTTCTTCTTTTCTCTTGTCTTTTTTTTTGTTTAACCCATTAATTGTTTAACGTTTGAGGGTTGGATTGGAAGGATATTTGATAGGTCCTTTACCACCCCCCGAACCCGATAAATCGACCATTCCACACAAAATAAGCGATCGAAGAAGGTGTGGGCGTAGTTCCTATTAGACCCTATAAAACATCTTATCCCTAGGCCTGACCCATAGAAGTCTATGACGGCCACCAACAAACTTATCTACCGCACCAAATACCTTCCCTTTGACCACCAACCCCACCAAAACCCACCACCCAGATCAGATTCCCACCAATAACTACAGCCGCTTCTTAGCCCAGACAAGTAGCATGTCAAACACTGTCTCACCCTCACTCGGCTCACGTGTCCACACCATTGTCGGCAAAATCACCGGAAGCAATGAGGACACTAGCCGGCCTGCCGATTGTGATACTGACCGCATCATAGCACAGCTTTGCATACTCGAAGCAACAAACAATCAGCTTCACGCACGCTATATCGAACTTGGAAACACACACCTCAAGTCAACCCACGCAGTATCTGATGAGCTACGTGCAAGAGCACAGGGTTGCAAGACACAGCTTAAAAGCCTGCTGAAGGGTAGTGGGATCGATATCATTCTCAGAGTGGAGGTTAACAAAGCGCTGGAAAAATTAAAGAATATGGAAAAGGGATACGTTCAGGCACGCAGATGGGCGTCTGTTCAAGTTTAATGTGGATGGTTATGTAACCTGGACATACATAGGGTGGTTAAGGAAGCAGGGTTATCATTGGTCGGAATAGTTGGATCCATCTACCGTAAGGGTATGCTACATTGTGAGGCTTTTATTTGGAGGTTGGCATACGAATATCGATAATTCTCAGATTCAAGTTATAACAATCAAGTTTAGACAAGTCAATTCTCAAATATTTCTACTCCCTGGTATATATGCCTGTCTCGGATCAGGAGCGGGTTCTATCAGAATTATTATGGAATTATCATGCACGATCAGGCGGATGTCGAAGCTATGTTATAATAACCATAACTCAACCACCGATCATGCTCCATAAACTCGACTTGAGGTCTCGCCGAGAATCTCTGGCTCTGTTACCAACCTCCGGGAAGCTCTTTAATACATAAAAGTGTGATCCTCCGATAAATCGCGGCATCTAAATTTGGGACTACTGATGCTTTATCTGGCCTGACACCAACAGCTGCTAGTTCGGATGGTTAAGAAGCATTGCATGGGTCTACCATCCCGTGGATCCCCTTACTTCGTATATCTACATACCAGAAAGGCTTAAAAAGTAGTACCTGCCATGGGCATAGTATTATCTGCCGGCCATTATTAGCTCAAAACGTGCTAGAGGGAGATATGATGGTTCGAGGGGCACTATATGACCCGTGCTTTTGACAGTTCGGGCGGGATAACTCATCAGGTATGAGTGTATCGTTACCGGAGGGCATAATATCAAGAAAAAGAAAAGAAAGTCTCTAATTTTTGTTTATCTGGCAGACGTTATGCAACCAATATAGATGAAGACATTCTTATGGTCCATGTACATGTTGTTCTTCTTGTGATCGAGAATATCTGAGTGTGAATACATAGCCATGGCGACACCTATGCCATGAAAAAGACATAAAGCCAATTACAACATCAAATACAGTTACTCTTCGGGTGATATAGGATGATCAACATTCTCCCCTTTAAGGTTTTTAAGGTTGGCCGGCGAACAACAACATATATATACAATCGCAACTCACGGCGTCACATAGTATCTCGAACCAGGGAGCGGCAGTCACAAGCTCAACCTCCTATGTTACGGATCCTCTTGATTCTTCTAGCTCGTAGTAAAAATACTTGTTAAATAACTGATCACAATCGTATTAAATGAATGAACAAATGAACAAGGGTAGTTAAAAGCACTCTGTGATCTCGCTAATACATCCATTTGCGCATACATACATCCTTCACACACCCCAGATTAGCGATACATTCACAACACGGTGTGCCCCTCAGAGAAAACCCACAGTCTCCAACCTCAACACCAAATCGTGGTCATTTGCATCCTTAAACCTATGTCTCTGTACATCAATCCTCGCCCTCAGCCCGCTGCCAACCATCTCCTTCCTCAGCATCTTCGCAATTCTATCCTTGCTCTTCCCACCCCTCTTCAACAGGTCTAAGCGTAGATCCAGCTCTGCGGTAAGGTCGGGCACCGTAGTGTGGTGAGGCCGGTTGTAGAGGTCCGTGACAATATGCGTAAAAACCACAAGCTCAGCTTCGACGAGCTCGGTGATGGTAGGGGGGTCAGTAAAGGGGTTGACGGGATCAGCGAAGGGGTTTTCTTCTTCGTCAACGCCGTTGTCGGAGGCGTGGAAGCTGCCGCCGGACAGGCGCTTGATGAAGGTCTGGACGCGCCTGCGGATGGGCGAGGGTCGACGGGGCATTGCGGTTTGGCTTGTATTTAGATTTGTACTTGTGGTGTGTAGTAGGGTAGTGAGTATGGGCGTGGTTTACGTATAATGGATCAAGCAGGGCTCTTGAAAGCTGCATTTAAAGCCCGGTTTTGAGCGGGGTAGAACCATTGAATTGGAGGGTATGCTGTGCGGTATTATTTTATCATTGCATAGAAATATTCTATGCAAGGGAATGCCCACAAAGGATATGGTATTAGATTTGATTTATCGTCTATAATCGAGTCTCCTGGGATCGATCAATATATCTATGACTACATGTAGTCCTGTAACCCATCTGCCTTCACGAACCAACGTAGGATTTTAGTCCATATATCGAACGAGGAGCACACCAGACGCTAATAAACTTCCAAAAATGTATCTTGAGGTGTATTTGACAATCGGTGCAAGAAATCAATTACACATCGGTCTGAGATGTACTGTGCAGTTGGTCATAATATATCACTCGCCCATAAACTATCACTCGATAATGGCTGGCGGAATAGTACGCTCCGAGGCCTTTTCTTTTTTTTTTTTTTTTTTTTGTTTGACTAAACGCTCCGAGGCCATTGCCTAAATTTCGGTGCAAGGGTTAGGAGGGTCCTCGGAAGGCTTATGTTGGGTCACCTTGATCATTGTGGATGTGCAATAGAAGCTGTACCATCTAGGCCATGGGGGACGATACCAGCACCAGCTCTGTGTTCTATCAGTATATCATGTAGGGTAGTGGCAGGGAAAGGGTAGTTCACCCTGTCCCCTCGATAACCCACTCAAGGCCATCCGGACACTTTGACAAGAAAATTAGTTAAGTCCCAAAACAGCAGGCTGAACCTTATTTACCCCCTAGTAGGGAAAGAGCTAGAACACCCTCTACATCCTATATTTCCGTTAAACTACCACCAAAGAGCGAAAAGACACGCCCTACACCTCACATATCCGGTAAACTACCGCAAAATAGCAAGAGAGTACGACATTACCCCAACGGTCCGATTATCATCCCTTCTACGAGGATGAAATGACCCCTCTACACCAAAAGAATTGTACCGTAGGGTTGACTGCTTGGCATGGCTGGTGCTAGTCCGTATGGTTAACCGGCCGTAGAAGCTGACAAAGAATGAGAGGCCTGATCAGCTGAATGGACGACTCGCTTTCACGATTCCTCCGAAGCCACATGGCAGCAGTACACTTGCGATTTTCCATGCTGGTTTAAAACCTGGGCGGCGCTAGTACTAGCGCTAGCGGTAGTGCCGCCAGTGGGATGAGGGATCCAGCGCTAGAGTAGGCCGGTATGTATGCCGCGTTCGGACGTGCATGGATACAAGTATGTACCGGCCGCGGATCAAACGCACTCAAAATAAACTTTCCAGTGTTATCAGATAATGTAAGTTGCTAACAGCTCACATACATATAATTAAGTACATTACAGGCTGCAAGTACAGCCACTCTTCAAAAATGTTCGTGATTCCGATTTCGGAGTGAGATATTCCTTCATATAAACCGAAATTGCGGATACTATTGCTGAGTGGCTGTACATGTATGTTTAGCTTTCTATGATCCCAATTCTCCTAGGTTGTAAAATACTTTAAGTGAATCGATCGTTGCAATTGAAGCCCTTCTATTATTACTACGTCAGGACCAACTCGGTAATTAACTATTATGTTGGTGCTATAGCTGGGTTAGTGACATAAAGGTTATGACATATATTTTGATTGTATGATAAAATTAGATAAACGAAAATCGCATCCAACATAAGTACTAGGTGTTTTGATAGCAGCTTATATATAAGCTTGATCCTCAGCTTTGTAGGTCTAAGGCAAGAATAAACACTCACAACTCATCACTAATAAAATACTTTCTATTCTGTCTTTACTAAGTCTAATAAACTCTCACTAGCATATAGTCTGAGATGACCTTCTTCCAGTAAAGGAGGTTAACCGGGCTAAACTAGGCCCTCGCATTTCCCACTAGACTGATTACAAGAACCGACAAGTCCATACCTGCCGTTCTCAGTATTCCTACAGCAGCATTGATCCAATCCTCCCCGCTCTTATATCACGTACAACCTGCGCGACAGACGCAGTATCAAATTACTTATTTTACTGACTTATATTAGGCTTTTATCTCGCCCTCCTCGGGCTCGGTGGTTTATTCGAGGTGGCCAGCCACCATTCATAATCATCCTTAACCCAACGACTCACCTCCGCAAACTGCTCTTTCTGAACTCCGACCTGCTCCCTCAGCTGCGGGCGCACGGTACCAGCAGCCATCAGCCTTGCAATCTTCTCTTCGCTGTTTTTCCCCTTAGCTACTGACTCATTCCGCCACTTATACGTGTGAGCACTTTTGCACTTGCTGTATTCATCGACTACTGGATGGATGACGCTGTCTCTGTTAAGGAAAATGGCTAGTGCTAAGCGATAATTCTGTAGCGTTTAAACTGATGATATTGTAAAACCGGATTCCCTTGACTTGATGGTTGATGATACCCTCAAGTCTTCGCAGAATCAAGCCCTATTTATACATGTTGGAACCTATGCCAAGGCCCGCTTTCTAATACTAACTGATACAACGATAATAGAATAAGATAACGCTCCCGAAGATAACCCAGATAGAAAAGCGCCCCCGCATAGTCCCGTCCTCCATTCTAATTCCGACACGTAACCATGAACCTTGCAATTGCCAGTCATCGGGTTGTACCATACTATTATCCTAGACCTACTTCCCTAAGTAGAACAACCTACAGCCGTAAGCCCCGCTTCCTATTCTATTCCGGGTGAGACACCCAATAGTAAACGTGCCGTCATAATAGTATAACACTAGTGTGGTAACATCGCGTGCTCCCACACTACCCGATACCTTTCTATGCTTGTCCTTTCGTTACCCGACCGTCCTCGCATCACAACCCGTCACTCGTATCCCTCATTGTCCTAAGCCTCTAGAACAGTGTTCCGTAGTTCCTGTAACACTACTCCCCCTTCCTAGACGTCGCCCTCGACCGTTAAAACCCTTCTATAATAAAAACCCTGTGGGAAAAGTCATAGAGTAGGGAAAGGTATCGAGCTTAGTCCCGCCTGTTCCGTTGTCGCTTATGAGCCCGGTCATTATCGATCGCTGGGCCTCGACTTCGCGTATGGGGTCGTGTGTTCGAGGTTGGCTGGAAATTCTCGTCTGCCAATGCCTCCTGTGGCTCGGGTGTTGCCAGTCGCTTTCGTGTATTTTGTTTTCTGGTGGGATCCGGGTCCTCGCGATAGGGTCGCAGCAGCATCTCGTGAAAGACGTCGTGAACCTTCCATTCTACCGGAAGTTCGAGACGGTAAGCCCGATTGCCCACCACTGCTGAAACTGTAAATGGCCCTGTGAACTTGTCTGACCACTTGGAGTATCCTCCTAGGTTCCGAGTGTCCAGCAAGACTTTCTGACCGATAGTGAACCGCTGTACTGCCGGTCCTGGCTTTGACGCCATCCTGTCGAAGGTCTTCTGTAGCGTGTCTCTCGCTAACTCATGAGCCGTGATGATCTCATCCAAGTAGTTGTTCCCGTTGGCGTCCAATCGTTCGATCTCTGCATCCGTAGGCCAATCCGTTCGAGGGTGGAAGCCATAATTGCAGTAGAACGGCGATTGCCCCGTCGACGTATGCTTCGCATTGTTGTAGGCGTATTCACAGATGGGTAACAGGTCCTTCCATTTCTTGCCTGTTCCTGCCGTATATGCCCGAATATAACCTTCCATGTGTTGGTTGGTCCGCTCTGTTTGGCCGTCGGTTTGGGGGTGGAATGAGGTGGAGAGTCTTCTACGAATCCCCAGTCTGTCCGTAATTGCCGCCCAGAATGCTGACACGAACTGCGTTCCTCTGTCTGAGACGATGCTCCTAGGAAGTCCGTGGAAACGCCAGATGTCTTTGACGAATGCGTTGGCGGTTTGTTCCGCGTTGATTCCCGTCATTGGAATGAAGTGAGCCATCTTCGTAAAACGGTCCACGACTACCAATACGTTGCGGAATCCTGATTTCTCCTTAGGCATTTCTACTACGAAATCCATCGAGATATCAGTCCAAGGTGTGGTGGCTAACTCTAGGGGTTGAGGGAGTGACAAGTGTCTCCGACGTTGCTTGGCTCTCTGGCATACATCGCAAGTCTTGACGAAGTTGGCTACATCCGTGGACATTCCTGGCCACCAGTAGTTCCTATCAATCAACTCGAGGGTTTTATCCCTTCCTAGATGCCCCGCTACGGGTCGATCATGATGTTCCTCAATGACCTGCTTGACCGCGTAGCCCGGTACTACCCATCGACCATCGTGGGTGGGGTCATTCGAATCGGGACTCCATTCAGCGGCAGGCTCTAACTTTACGATAGCAGCCTCCGGTGGTCCAAAGATCTCCAGGTTTGAGTCAGGGAGGTGTTCATCCGGAACCGTCCTCCGAACCCAGCGTCTTTCCTGTTCATACCAACCCTGTAGTGACTGAGGCAGTTCTACGCTTGGTATGTCGTACCACTGATCCAACTGATTCCATTCCTCTTCGGGGTTGCCAACCACTTCGGACCCAGTTTCTACGCTGGTCCGTGATTTTCTGACAAACTGTTCTGCGCTGAGTAGCTGTTTTACGGGCTGCTCACGCATTACTCCCCCTTCCATTGCGAACTCCGGACGCCTTGTAAGTGCATCTGGCTTGCCGTTCTTTTCGCCTGGTCGGTAATGGATCTTGAAGCGAAAAGGTGCTATCTTCTCGGCCCATCTGGCTTGTCTTCTCGACAACTTCTTGGTCGTTGTGAAATACTGCAGGTTTTGGTGATCCGAATGTATCTGGATAGGGATGTCCGTCCCTTCCAGCCAATGTCTCCAAGTCAAGAGGGCAGAAACTATTGCGAGCATCTCCTTGTCGTAGATCTCATAGTTAACCTCTGCCTCGTTGAACTTGCGAGAGTGGTAAGCTACCGGATGTAGAATACCGTCCTCGAACACCTGAGAGAGTACTGCGGCCTCAGCCCAGTCA